CCACCCCATTAAAATGCTCTAGACACGCCCCTGCTTATTAATATCATTGCACTTTATTTGCTCCGTTTTATTTTGTGAAACCTTACTACATATATGGAATAACCGTTTTATAAAAGCAATAAGCCCCGTGAAGCTGTGGTTTACAGTGAATTTATAACAGCTAAGGGGGTTTTAGGCACTCCGCTTCACGTAAGAAATGTACCAAATGTTGGTTTCATATGGTTTTGAAAAGTTACATTGAATGAATAGAAAAATACCATGTGGTGTAACCACATCAAGTAAAAAGTAATAATATTAAGTAGCTCTTGCTTTGCAAATATCAATATTATTACAAATACAATATTATTAATTAATAATTCACAAATATATTTTTGGGGAGTCACACCCCGTGACTATGTTTTGTTCTGCATACTAGTTGCACCACCTGATTTTATGAAATATTAAAAAGCAGTGAAGCAGTTTTGTTAAAATATTAGCCTTTTTCATAAATAAATACATTATTATTAGTATTATTATTATTAATAATAATAATAATAATATTATATTGATAAAAATGTAATTTCACTCCTTCAGGGTTAGTATAACTTTCAGAAAGTTTTTTCGAGTATGGCCCTTCATGACGTCATAAATGGCGGAATTCCTTATATGGGCATTTCTCCCACATAATACATTAGTACATGTAATACCAAAATGTACAGTGCATAATGGAAGCATAACATGTGAACTCCGTCATGATAACACATGGAAGAGCTATCGGTACCTGCGATGGTGCTGGATGCTGGGCGGGCATGCAGGGCGATGTCAGGCTGAGAGGAGTTGTGGGACTGAAGACCCGGCACCTGCTGCAGCTTGGGGATAGACATCACATGTTGCCCACCATCTGAAGGCGGAGAGGCCACCAGCAGAGTCTGCTGAGAGGAAACCGTGGTGGGCGGCAAATGCGGAGATCTAATTTTTTCTGCCATCAGTTGCTCTTTGATCTTGTCGATAAGAACCAGGTTATCCAGCTGTAAAAGTCATTGGTTAGGTTTAACAGGGGACAAGGACATCATGTGACGTGAGACAATAAACCAAACGGAGCAAGAAAAAGGGGGGAAATATGTGGGGGAAACTCATATCATGGTTTCTGTGCTCGCTTTGGCAAACCACATTGGCATGTACAGATTTGCAAACATGCATACTGTCATGCTTTCTTGCATTCAAACGATCGCTAAATGCCACATGATTTCGCTCTGTACTCAATGGTTCCAGTATGTCTGCAGTAAAGTCTGCTGCAGGAATTTTTCATATATTAATAAATACTATGTTGTTTGTTTTTTTGGTGAATTAATTGAAACAGTGAAAAAGTCATAAATAGTCACTATAAAACTGTTCATATGTGAAATTAACCATTACAAATATACTGAAGCATGTCAAGCAACTCTTTATAAAACACAATACTCACTTGGCCAGGCATAGAGGGAGGTGGTGGCCAGAAATATGGATTATTGAAACGAGGCTCTGCCATCCTTCTAATAAAACAGAATAAGGGTCAAATCAGAATATAATATAAAGCAGATTAAAAGCACACACAGGCCTAAAAGGATTTAGTTATAAACATATTTCTCACCTAAATCTTAGTGTTCATAAGCCAAATTGAGTCTAGTTATGAATTAAGCCAATTTCTTACTAATATCATGTCAATTAATCATATTTACTTTAGTGCATCTTTTGTACCTTTTAGGAATTTCATGAAAACATAATACAGACTAGTGTAATGCAATATCTATAATATAAAGTACATTTTACAGATCCGGACCTTCTTGTTTTCAATCACACATCTATAATAATTTATTGAAACTGTGATAGAGCAATATGCCACACAAATATCAGTGCTTGTTTCAGAAGTTCTCACAATAGAGGAGTCATTTTAACTGACATATCATAATTTAGTTTGTGTAGTTCCCCCAAAATAACAATTATCGTGTCATCGTCATGTCATTCCAACCTTGCATGTCTGTCATTCTTTTCCCCATTTCGTTTTTTCCATATAGAGTAAATGAATGGTGACTCAGGCCTTTTGTGGTCCACAGAAGAAAGAAAGACATACAGGTTTGGAACAGCATGAGGGTGAGTAAATAACACAAGTTCTATTTTGGTCTGTACTGTTGCTTGAATTCAAGTTTTTAGAAAATGCTATGCACTGCTTTAGATGAGCAACTTGGTTCTTGTACATAAATGTACTCTGCCAAAAATAGTTTCTGCTAAAATGCCAAAATTACTTGAATTGTTACTAATCTAAAGCCAAAATAAATTGAATTGATTTTTGATGTGAAAAGCTTTCTTGTTGTCATTAATCTTTTTGGTTGTTAATACCAAGTTAACAATAACTGTAGTAACAAAGACATTTTGTCAGAAACTTTGCTTAATAATGTCTCAAATTAACTTTTTTTCTTAGGGGGCAATATTTGTTCCAAGGAATTGATATAAATTCTCAATTGAAACAATTATCTACCAAATGAAATAAAATAACATTTACTATACATTCCACATTTATATTATATTTCGCCCAGTTTCTGACCCTGGTGGTTGCCATGGTGTTTTATTGTTTGTTTGTTACAAATGACTTGAGTCATCAGCTCAAGTGCCAAGAATTGTAATTTTTGCCATGTGACTCAAGTTTGAAGTGAGTACATTTCAGTATTTAAGACATTTCATTCAAATTTGAAAGCACGTAATCACTATAAAAGGGATCGAATTCAACAGAACTCGAATGCCTCTTTAAACTAAATCCGTAGGATCTAAAGTACAAACATTCTGACGCCTCTTTTAGGAAAACAACAGTCACAAAACGTTTGTGATTTCCCCATACAGCAGCTGCACAGCACTGTTATCTCTCATCTCTGCTTGATCACCCAGAGCCTCCGATTCATTCCTCCACAGTTTCACCAAAAGCATTTCAGACAAAAGAAAAAAACAAAAATGGCAGCCTGTTATATTTTCATAAGGACGCCATATTCTGCAGAGCCCAAAAATTCACACTCAACTCGTATGTTTTTTCAGGGAAAGCCCGATCGAGCAACGAGATGTTTGTGGTTATATGTGTGTGTGCTTGATTATGAAGAATAGCACCTTTGAATTGCCCGGCCCCCTTGAAAAAAACCTGACACTTCCGACAATCATGCCGTGCAAAAATGTCTAACAATTAGCGAAATGTTGCGCACGGCTGTGTTATTTGACAACATCCGCCGCCCCGATCGCTTTGTAACAGTGTTATAGCGAATGCACATTGAAACCATTAGTACATGCATGCACAATGAATTCAAATATTGTCATTTATAATCTTATATTTCGCTTTGTGCAACCTGTGGTAGATCAAAGGCGATAAATCGCGCCCGTCGAACAGTTATCTGTCGTACAATGCAGTAATGTGCACGATAGCTCAGTGTGGGAAAAAGGAAAAAGACGCCATGAGCGCACAAACCTTCTATATCGATGTCAGAGGTTTTTTTTTATTTGATTTTTTCCCCTCGCAGGAGAGGCTTTAATAAAGCAGAGAAGAGGCTGGATGTTCTCTATGCGCCTCCAGACAGCACAGCTTCCGGGTCAGCCTGTTCACTTCTGGGTGCTGTACACCAAAATCTCTCATTTTCGCTGGGATATATGAGGCTTTTTTTTGTCTCCACACAGATACGGGATCATTGCTTTTAGGCTTAAGTCATTGGTTGTGCACTGTGCTTCAATTTGTAACAGAAAAAAGGCATTTGAGAGAACACAACTGAGACTTTCCCATGCAAAATATAATATAGTAACCAGATTTACTGTATTTACAGTTCCATTAATAACAGAAGAGAGGCTTTTGAGAGAACACACATAATTGAGACTTTCCCATGCAATATTTAATATAATAACCAGATTTATTATACTAACAGCTAAAATATAAAACCATATTTTTAATTTAAATCAGTGCTGTTAAACGGTTAATCACATCCAAAATAAAAGTTTATAGTTTGTTTTTTTATATTATATTTTTTATATATTATATTTACTGTGTATTTTTGTTATGTATATATAAATACACAAACATACAGTACATGTGTAGCAAAGTGTCATTTATTCAGTGTTGTCACATGAAAAGATATAATAAAATATTGACACAAATGTGAGGGGTGTACTCACTTCTGTGAGATACTATTTATATTTAAAAATATATATACATATATATATAATTTATATTATAAATATAAATATTTTATATATAAACAACTTCTTTTTCTTAAATATATATATGCATGTGTGTGTATTTGTATATACATAATAAATATACACAGTACACAAGCATATATTATGTAAACCAAAAAAAACTATTTTGGATGCGATTAATCGCGATTAATCGTTTGACAGCACTAATTTAAATGCATTTTAATTCAAACATTTTATGGAAATGGTGGCTTCTGGCAAGTTAACCCATACTAATTGTATTAAATGTTGTAATAGCTAGTTTGGTGGACTCATTAGCTGTTATAGTAAATTTAAATAATATGGTAATTTAATTACAGGGTTGATCAATCTTTGTCTACACCATGAATAATGACAGTATCTCTGTTTCCACACTAACAAATTCACTACTGTGTAAAGCACAAGATTCGAATGTGTTATAACTATTGTTATAAAGGTCAAATTACCATTCAAACAAATACAGTGCATAAGCTGAAAAAAAGAGTAAAGTTTGTTGAGACAAACTTTGATGTTGGTTTGAGTAAAATACTTTAAAATCTTAGAAAATTTTAAAGGGGTCATATGATGCAATTTCCAATTTTCCTTTCTCTTTGGAGTATTACAAGCTGTTTGTGCATAGATAAGATCCCTAAAGTTGCAAAGCCTAAAGTCTGAAACCCAAAGAGATATTCTTCATAAAAGTTAAGACGCCCTCCTAAAACGCCTCGTTTAAACACGACCCCACATGTCTATGTCACTGTGTGGGAAGATTTGCATAACACCTCCCAAATGTTCATGCAAAGAAAGAAGGCATAACTTTTATTCTCGCTGTAGTATTGTTGCTGCCACCATGTCATGGAGACGCTGTGTATTTCGTTGTGAAAGCGAAACTACTTTGTTTGGCCTTCCAAAAGAGGACACAACTAGAAATAAGTGGTCAAGTTGTATTTACAACACTGTTCCAGAACAGTTCAACCCAAATATTCAGATGTGTGCAGTGCATTTTATGGAGGACTGTTTCCTGAACCTGGAAGAGTAGACTACAATGCCGGCTGTGCACAAATATGGGGCAGTTCCAACTTTGCAGGACAGTCTGGCGCTTCTGACTCACAGCCTGTAAGTACGTTTTTTTATATTTAAAGAATTTGCCACTGATGATTCAAACGCGAGTTTTGAGCAGTGTAGAGTAGCGCTTGTTGTTTTTCGTTTCACCGATCACAAATGCAGACATGGTTTTATGTTTACGCGGCATGATACGCAACGCAACGCGTAAAAAGACAGTATAAGTCATTATTGTGACGAGGGGGGCGGGGCCGAGAGTCGTGGGAACGGAGCGAGGCCGGTGGAGGAATTGCTAATGCGTGACACCTGCACCACTCACCGGTCTCGAGTCTCACGGAGGAGCTCCGGAAGGATAAAGAGGAGGAGTGACGACCGTGTTAGACGAGAGGGGACCAGGCCTGGATTTTATTTTGTGTTTTTTGGTTTTGTTTGTGCGCGACAGTCGTCCGCGAGGGGCTGTCGCGCTGTGTTGAGTTTATTTTATTATTAAAGTTTGTTTAAATGTTCGCCGGTTCCCGTCTCCTTCGTCCCGACCTACAAACGTTGTTACATTGGTGCCGAAACCCGGGAGGAAGGAGGGACACGCTGTCAGAGAGCCCTCGCTGCTGAGGGGGATCGCGGTGCTGAGGAGATCGGGCAGCAGGAAGAAGCGGAGAGACCACCGGTGGCTGCCTGAGGCGGTGGTGCTGGAACGACGGAAGAGGAGGTGGGACGGAGAGCTCGCTGCCGCGCTCCTGGGTCGAGGAGGGGTGGCTGCCGTCTGGGAGGGAGCAGAGGAGTCTGCCCGTTCGCCAGGAGGCCGGAGCCTGCGGCCATCCGCCATGATTGGGGACTCGCAGGGAACGGGGGACTCGCTGCCGGCTGCCCTCAATAGGAGGAGCCATCGCCGTCCGCCAGGAGGCGGAGGAGCGGTGGGCCGTCCACCAACGATGTCCAGTACCATCGCATGGCACCGCGAGTGAGAGCCTCTCAGCCAGTTGAGGACCAAGCGGCAGTGTGTCTGGGAACCGGACCCAGAATTTTTTTTTCTTTTTTCCTCTCTCCCCTCTCTTGTCTGTCTCTCCTCATCCTTCCGTCTCCTTTTCTCTCGCCTCGTCTGTCTGTCCTTACCCCCAGGTACGCCACGGCCGCCGTGATCGGCTCCCCCGGGAGGGGGGAGGGGGGGAGTAGAGCCAGTCTCGGGAGTACCCCCCGGCCTGCGAGGGGCGAGGGGGGCGGGGCCGAGAGCCATGGGAACGGAGCGAGGCCGGTGGAGTAATTGCTAATGCGAGACACCTGCACCACTCACCGGTCTCGAGTCTCACGGAGGAGCTCCGGAAGGATAAAGAGGAGGAGTGACGACCGTGTTAAACGAGAGAGGACCAGGCCTGGATTTTATTTTGTGTTTTGGTTTTGTTTGTGCGCAACAGTTGTCCGCGAGGGGCTGTCGTGCTGTGTTGAGTTTATTTTATTATTAAAGTTTGTTTAAATGTTCGCCGGTTCCCGCCTCCTTCTTCCCGACCTACAAACGTTGTTACAATTATAATCAGTAATTATGTCCCCACTGGATGCAACAAATGCCTCGTTTGTAATGGGTTTTATTGGTGTTGTCTCATGCGCTGGGACAGGGCATCACATGGTAAGGGGCGTAACATGTCTGTCACACGCTTGAGGTATTCGGCCAATCACAACGCACTGGATAGCTGGCCAATCACAGCACATCTCGCTTTTCAGAACGATGAGCTTTGTAAAAATCGACGCGTTTCAGAAAGGCGGGGCATAAAGGAGAAACAATAATGTACATTATGTGAAAAATAATGGGTTTGTTGAACCTTAAACCGCATAAACACATTGTATTACACAAAATAAACAACATAATGTTCTTTTTAGCAACGTCATATGACCCTTTAAAGGTTGTACAAACCCAAACAGACAAATTGACCATCAAATGAAATCATCACTGAAATCAAGTCACGCCTACAGGTTTGGTCTGTTGGTGGTAGTTCAGTGCTGGACTAGTAATCTGCACATCATAGGTTCAAACCTGTTTTTATACAGTCTATGGTTCAAACCCACAAGGGGTGATTCATAAACATCAAAGTTCCTCAGCTATCAGGGAATGTTCTCACAACTTTTTCTAATGTTTTTTAAAAGTTATATAAATGTTAGAACAAAACGTTCTTAAAGTATTATTTATGGAACGTTCTTATTATTAATGTTTGATATATGTTCTCATAACTTTGAGAGAAACTGTTCTTAGAACAACATCCTCAAAATGCCCTCGTGATGTTATTTGCACTTAATGAACGTTCTGATAATGTTGAAGAGAAAATGTTCTTAGAATATTAAAAATAACTGTTCAGATAACGTTTTATTTTGGGTGAAAATGTTCCCACAACTTTTTTATAACCTAAATTTGTTATCTGGGTATAGTGGAGTCCCTTAATCACACTGTAAAAAAAAGTGGTAGCCTGAATTTAACTTTAAGATCTATTTATACCTTACATTTAGGTTTGTTGGGTTAAACTAATGTGAACTAATGTATTTAGACTGACTTAGTGACGTTAAATAATATTTAGACCTGAATAAAAGCATTTACACAGTTTACAACAATTAGCTCCAGTTCTCGAATCTGATTGGCTAGGCGGAGTTTCCGCAGGGCTTTTCGGACGCTTGTTTGTGTCACTCCGAGTCCGCTCGGAAAACACTGGTTCATTTAAGAACGAAACGTCGCTTGCGGACACGAAAATGGTTCTATTGTCGTTCAGCTTGGACTTTTATATCCGGCCCGAAAACAGACTACATAACTGTCAATATCGTGCCTAACATGTGTTGTTCAACTCTGCTGTATTTTAAGCAATATCACACAATTTAGCTGTCTCGGAAACAGCCCAAGCCGTCTTGACTCATTAGTTGTGACGTTTTCTTAGTTGCATATTTTTTAATCAAAATTCTGCTTCAAAGTATAAAATAGCTTACCAAGGAAAAAGTAAGACTTCCACTTGATGTCGCTGTTGCAAAATGTGATTTGGTTAGTCATAGTGTCATATTTGTTATGTTATGTAATGTAGGCTATATGTATGATATAGGTTGGTGATGAAATGTGTTTAATTCATATGAGCAGAAGTTTATTAACCTTATAAACGATGTGAGATCCAGCTTTATGCTGAGGTTATTAGTCTGACGTGTTTTCATGTTTCACATCTGTCACGCTTTCTCACATCTTGTAGGTTACTTTAAGGCTTTCTGGGTTGGTTACTCACCTTCCTGTCTAAACAGACACTCTGTCAGAGTGAAGCAGAAGTTGGATGCCACAAATGCTGACATGAAGCAGAGTTGGAGTATTTTATGTTATCATCAACTTGTAAGTCTATGAATACAAATCATACTATTGACTCTTGAGCTAAAACTGAACAACATCTCATCATGACTGTGTCAACACTGTGTTTGGATTTGGTACGTATTTCATTTTTACTAGCATTGTTGTTGCCTTTCCTTGGACAGGTTGAGTTATAATTGCTATCTTATTATAAATGTTTGTACCTCATTACAAAATTGGAAAGCTCTCAGTTTCAACTGTTTTTTTTTTTTTTTATTCATGTATTTTTTACGTTTCTGATTATAGATTGTTAAGTACTTTTTCAGTAACCACCATCCTGTTAGAATTACCAGTCTTAAAATACCAAATGGCTACATATTGTTGCGACACGTTTGGTTAACCTCAACAACAATAGCAACATTTGCGTTTAATTAAGCTTTTGCAGACTTCTAGTCTGGTTAAATAGATCATTGCTATCTGTTATATTATATACTTTGTGATATGTGGGCAAAATATATATTTTATTATACTATATTTAATAAAAACCAATTATCTTTGGTAAAGGTCTGTTTTATTTATTTAATAAAATTAAGACAATGACAAGCTTAAAATCCATAAATAATAAAAAGGTCTTTAAGGGTTTAAGGCCTCAATACAAAACAGCATGGATTCAAAAGAGTGGGATACAAGGAGCTAAAAAAAATTAATAAATGTATTAGTTCTTTAGATATAGATATAAGAATATTTGAAATAAATTTGTCAAACTTTAACTTTAAAAGGTCCTTTCTGTATTCTTGCTTCTAGCTTGAAATGGTGGTGTTTATCTCTAGTAATTGTTCATTGTACAGCATATGTCTATACACGTTAATCATCAAATGTGACAAGAACTTGGATTGCCTGTCCTTCAGTTTAATAAAATATTAAAGTTTTTTTATTCAGTTTTATAAAATATAATATATGAAAGTTTGTCCTTTCATATATTATATTTTATGTTTATTGGCTGAATATTTTTTTAAATATTGGATAATTATTTTTCAGATGTGTAAGTTTAAGTGGGATATCCTATATATTTCATTATGGTAGTAATGTCTAAATAGAAGAATTTTTCAAAGTAAATCCCATCAGGACCAAGTGTTTATATCAAGAGCTTTCCTAAGATTGTGCTGCAGAAATGTAAGGGGTTTTCAAACTGACCGTTTGTAGATATTGTCAGAGAAAATGTGTGAAAACTTGTGTAGAAATATTACTTTATTACTACTGAGATGAAGTTACTGAAAATTATGACATTAATCTCAATTAATCTCAACAATGTCTCAAACAGTTCTCAACTTTGCTAAAATACCAAAGCAAGTCAGATATCGTAGTATAAACTTAAATATTTCTCATCAAATTGTCTATTTCTAAACGGTAATTTGACAGCTCTGTACTTTTAGTGTATGTCAACAATTGCCTGTCTACTTTTATTTTAGAAGAAACAATGTTGATACCAATGTGTGTATATTTGAAGCATTGTCCTTTCTGTATATGATCACATTTAAAATATTTCTCAGTAAGTTTCTAAAATGTACAAGGGAACTTGATATTTGGGGGTCTTTTTAATAAACAAACAACTATTTAATAAACAACTATTTCAGTTTTTTAAGTGGAGTATTTAGGTATTTAAATATGATGGTATTTCATATTTTCAGAAGACATTGACATGTATTTGATTGCAGTTAATTGTTTTTATTTCAGGTATGTATACTATTTATAGTCTCCCAATGCCAATGCCAAAGTAAAATTCCACCCTTGAAAAATGGAAGTTGTTCAGCAGGTAAACAGACATGCCTCCCACTAACTAAAATAAAGACAATAGTAAAACCAAATGAAAAACACCCATTATAGATGGACCTTTGTGGAATAAATATAATATATTTGCTGAAAAGAAATTAACCAAAATTCAAGTGTTTTATCTTATTATTTTGACCTTTCCTCCAGGATATTACAAATTACGACATGACTGTGTGATGTGTGGGAGCGATTCTTACACTGCCTTACCAAATAATCTCAAATATTGTTTAAGATGTACGCCATGTGATTGGGATGGTAAGTAAAATACCAGAATGCATTTATTGAAATAATCGAATAAATGCATGTGGAATTTAGACATTTTAATTTATATAACTGTTGAAAGGTGGGCTTTCATCCAAATATAAGACTCCTGGTTTTACAGCTCATGAAGTGGAGGATATCACCAAAACCTGTACACCAACACAGAACAGAGTCTGCGTTTGTAAAGCTGGGTTTTACAAGAATAATGGTCACTGTAAACCCTGTCCCAGCTGTCAAAACTGCACAGAATGTAAGTACCATTAAAGGAAGTAAAATTTATGGCCAAAGGATACAAGTGATACTTTCTGTTGTCAATAAAAAACTAAAAATTAAATATCCTAAACACCTTGTGGCTAGGAAACTGTAACTGAATAGTTTATTTTTCTTTTTGTGTTACTCAGGTTTGAACTGTAAAGAGAATTGTACCCAACAAATGACTATTAAAATGACTATTAAAACAACTATTAAAACCACAACAGTAGTTTGTGGGATTGGCAATTTCTCAGATGGTGGACAGTGCCAAAGCTGTGTTGAGTATGGGGTCTAATATTCACTTTTTTCTGTACATCTTTTGAATCTTGATGGAATTTTGGTAAATTACTCTATTTGTGGAGAATAAGAATTTTTGCATTATTCAAGTCTTTAGCATTTAGGTTAATGGGTTGTGGTTTTCCTTTGCATAAGGTTTAGCATTCGCATCAGAATCTCCTGCATTTGTAACAATGTTTGCCAGGGTTATTGAGATGGTCCTCACTGCAGAACACAAGATCCAGGGGGCGAGGTTGGATCCAGATCCAACTCCTCCCACCTAACATATACCTAAACCTACCCGTCTCCACCCCCTGATCCCTAAACCCACCCATCTCCACCCCTAAACCTACCATCTCCACCCCCTAGATGTGGATCCAACCCGCCCCCTGGATCTTTGTTCTGTAGTGAGGGGCTACTGGCGTTATTAGCAATGAAACACTATTTCAGGTACCAACACACCAAAGAATATAATGAATTGTTTTAAAACTTGTGATAATGGTTATATGGTAAATACAGTTGTAGTTATTTTATTGTTATGTTTTGCAGATATTTGTCATGAAAGTGTCTTGGGTCAAAGTACATGTTAAGTATAAATGTTCTATTGATTAATGTAATTTGTTTCAGGTCTAAGTGCAAGAAAGAGTCCTGTAAATCTTTTTGTAGTCCTACCACAGTTGAAACAAAAGGTATCACAACATCCTAACATGTATAATTAGAAATATTTATATTTGCAAACCTTTGAAGTAAGAAATACAGAGGTTAAATTTTGTGTGACATATATTGTCCCTTTTCTTAGGATATTCTAACCCGCTGTTGCTGGTGTTACTGATCATTGTGACCATATTGGGTGGTCTTCTCTGTCTTCTTCTCATCTGGTTCTGCAGACGGAGACTGCTTTGCCGCCAAGCCAAAATCTGGCATGTTGGCAAACATCCAAAATGTCAAATTCAACCAGGTTCACATACACTTACATGTACTTGATTTAGATGAATCAAGCTTGCTATACCTTTAATGGGGCCATGACTCATTACAGAGTGAAGCGGCTTAGCATTGTTTTGTTTCTGTTAATTCTGTGGTTTGAGTTCTTTCTTAAAATAGCAAATGCACATTGATTTAGGAAATCTGTATGCTGTAATATTCGAGATAAGTGAATTTTGTCTTTGTTTCAGCAGATCAACCTAATGATGTAATCAGCATTCCCAGAGCAATGGTTTGTAATTTTTTTGATTTAACATGTTTCTGATGTACAATTAAATTACAAGGTGGAAATGATGTTGAGGATTTTTTTTCATGTGTTCTAACATTTTAAGTGATAAGCATCACCTTGATAACCATTTGTTTGTCTTTAAAGGAAAGAAATGGAACCTCTATCAAAACTTTACCAGTGACTAGCTACCCACACAACGTCCTCAGTGGAGATTTACAGAGCATCATGGCCCCCCTGATAGCAAACGGAAACCCAAAAAGTAATTATATAAAACATTAAAGGGGTCATGAAATAGAGAAGCAAAATGTTCTTGATATTTACATTTATAAGAGATTACACTACAATAAAAACATACTGCAAGTTTAAAAACTCAAAACTAACTCTCTAGTTTAAAATATAAATGACTTCTTTCTACCCTTCTGAAACACCCGGATTTGAAATCTGGAGAATCGTGATGTCACAATTTCCCCTCAACACATGACATGCGTCATCGTCATATGTAATGTTTTCTATTGCTGTGTCCCAATTTGCCGACTTATACTATGCCCTAAAAGTATGCACTCTTTTTGTGAAGAAAAAGTACATATTTTTGTGTGTGTAGCAGAAGCACGAGCATTGGGACATACTACTTTGTTGCAATTGTGTCTTTAATGGACCGCTCTGTAGCTTAGTTACGTGTATTCTGTCATTGTTTAAGCTGTCATGTCAATCATCTTATCACAGCTAACATCCTCGACATTTCCTTTAATTTAATTTATTGCCGTATTACATGAAGAGTCACATTGATCTGCCAGTCACAGGTCTTTCACGCCGAGAACTCTCCTCATGTGTTTGCACCCAGCAAGCAATTTTGCGTTTAAAAGGTAAGAAAAATAACATTTTTAACAACTTGGACAACTTAAGACAATATTTTTCAGTAACTATATATATAGTTATATATAATTGATCATGCAAACCCTTTATCTAAACCCTTTATAAACCCTCTATGCTGAACCGTTGGTCTCACATATCTGCCATTTTTGTGTTTTTTTTTTACACTTATAATTTGTGTTTCGGACATACTTCTTTTGTCACATAACAGTTAATGTTTTTCACATAGTAGGGAATTATGCGGTTTCAGATGCAGCCCTGCACCTTTAATTTTCACCAGAAATGGGATACTCATTTCAACATACTAGGATTTGGGACACACTAATTCTAATTTTGAGTACTATTTAGGACAGATAGTATGTAAATTGGGACTGGAGCAGTGAAGATCAGCTTGAATCTGTCAGTGATTTCTCTATTTTCACCAAAACTTCCATTATAATCAATAGCAAATTTACACTGCTTAACGAGTCTCTTATTTACATTGTGTTTTCACTGTGTTAGTTATAATGAAAGTATTGGTGAGATTGCAAGAGATCATTGTATCATGTGCTCAGTATACCTCACTGTGTTAGTCTACAGTGCAGTGCTGCAACTGAAGCAGTTCTAAATAAAATGCTATAATCAATACAAAACGCAGTAAAAGTTTTCGAGAGGGTTTGCTCATTTCATATGCAAAGATGTTAGTCAATCATAGCAGTGGGCATTTACATTGAAGTCTCAAAGCAGACACGGCCCTTCCAACAGAGCGCTCAAATCAGAGACCTAAATCCAGGGTAGAAAACGTCCATTTATATCTAAATTATAACAGTTTCTGATTGTAAGATTACAAGTGCACCTCAGGAAACATAAAATGTAAAAAATGCATTTCATGACCCCTTTAAGACATTGCAAAATTTAATGAAGTTTCGGTTTATTCTCTGTTTTAAATTTTGTGATTGTTTTTCTGAATGTTTCAAGTCTTTCTTGTCAACTATTAGTCTTATCCTTTTGCCAATCATGTAGGCGTATGTTAAACTGATTGGGATCAGCTAGCTTTCAGGCTTACATTACAAAGTCTAAGAACTTCTGAGAACTGTCTGATCAGATAATAACTTCTAATTCGCACACTTACAGTTGCTTCCTTGGTATGGTAGTAGCCTCACAACTGCATTGAAAGGGCATTGAAATTTGCTGATTAAGTAAAGTAGGTAATTTTTATATAATTTAGATGATAATAAAAAGAAAGGAGAAATTTTTGTTTTAGTTCTCATGATGTAGCCTTAATATTTTCCTTAACTTCATTAAAAACTCATTCTTAATGATACAACTGCATAGTATTATTTCAGTAAAAAGTTCTTATTACACAGCTTTCTGGAATATTTGATTCTGATTGGTCAGTTGCAGCATTCAGCAGTCTGATGTTTGCTAAAATGCTGTAAATCACTCCGCTCATCCAGCACTACTTTCATTCTTTCATACCGCTTAGTCTCGTTTTATAAAAGTGCAACTGGCTTATCGATTGTACACTGAAAGAAAAAAATCAGTAGGACAGTTGAAAAGCTACTGTTAATTTTCTGTAATTTTCCAGACATTTCCCTGAACCCCTAAACACACAATATAATGCAAAAGTCAAAATACAGGTGAAACACCTGTGAAAAATCAATATAGAAAATTCTTTCATATTTCCCGTACCTTAAACCATCTGTGTTCAGTATATTAACATAATATTGTTGCAGTGCTCATCTTGTTGCCTGACTGATTGATATGTACATTGTAATTAACTATTTGGTTCTGCATCATACTTCTTTTGCAATATAACTTACAGTAATCTGGCACTGATAGGCCTATGTGCATGCTCGCCTCAGTAAACAGGAGATTAATTCGAGAGCTTGGGGTTTCTCAACCTTTGTATCTAAAGGCCATATCTACTTTACCACAGTGATGCAGGTCTTGCAGAAGGAGTCCTGGCCAGCACCAGTGCTGTACACTGTCATAAGAGAGATTCCCGTGACACGCTGGAAGGAATTTTTGCGACTGCTTTCTGTGTCAGATGATCAGATGGAACGGATCGAACTGGAGGCAGGCCCATCCTATCTGGAAAAGCAGTATCATATGCTACGTCTGTGGAGCCAGAGCAGTGGAGCGAAGATGGAGAATATCTACTCAACATTACACTACATGAACCTGTCAGGCTGTGCCCAGGAACTGCAAGAGAAGCTAGAACAACTGCAAGCAAGCATGAAAGCTCACTCATCTTGACTCCATCTCCTCATGTGTGTGAGCTGCAGTTGCATTTCACAATCATTTACAGTTAACTCTGAACAGCAGATGCTCTTGTCTTCTGAACTTTTAACAGGAAACCCGCAGTCATAGTTAAAAAATTGTTTTATTTAAGTATAATGTAAAATAAATGCAGGTCATTATGCATATCATAGGTGCTTTGTAATAACTGTTTATAATCCTTGTTCTTGGTTATATGAATCAGCCTTTTGTCACTATACTGTACAAATCTGGATTTTCAAAGAATTGTTGACCAATTCAAAGTTTGAACTTAAATGTTTAAATGTTACCATCCATCAACTTAAAGAGGTATCTAGTGGTTTTCAGGATAAACGTAGCTGCTTATTTGTTTCACGCTAAAGGTTATTTTAAGTTCTCAGTCATATTGTACATGGGCACGTTTGAAATATTACTTTACACTCACTGTGTACACTTGTCACACCAGTATATATTTGTTACTTTTCTTAATAAAAATGTCTGGAATATGTATGGCTCTTGACAGCATCATGTAGTAAAAAAAAAAAAATAGAAAGCATGACCGAGGAAGTCTCCTTTCTGTGCAGACAGAGAAAAGTTTTGACATTAAGTTTAGTGAATGTCAGCAAACAATTGCTGTGGCCTCTGAGCTATGCAAAGGAAATTCCCCTTTCATCTGGTTCCCCCAGGTTCATCTGACTTCTGTTTAAACCACAGTGACGATCAAAAGCAGTTTCACTTTTTTATTTCGTTTTTCCAGGCTTGTATATAACCATAACCTATTTGCTAAGCCGCATGTTGTCAGTTCGAAGAAACATACAGTAGCCCATGTTCTCTGGGAAATGTGAAATATAACCCCCACCTCCAAATATTCTTTGCCAATTTTGATATTTTAACCCTTTCAGTCCATGAAATACCCATTCAAACAGGAAAAACTTATATATCTTGATAAATTAAATTTAAGTTTAAATTTAGTTTAATAATCGTGAGTGTTTCAGTATTGTCCCAAGTGATTTATTGCTGTCTATTTTCATAGGCTGTTTTGTTATTGCTTGATTGTATTTTTGCCTAGTCCTCTTTAACTTTAGTCAAGTTTTCATAATTTAAAAGTAGACATTTGAAATGAAAAACACCTTTGTGGACATTAGCTCACTTAGAGGGCCATTTTCTAAAACAACATGAATATAAGCAACATTAACGAGAGAATGCCAGTGCTTAATAAGAAAATATGTTTTAATAACGTTTTCTTGAACGTTTAACCAAATCACGTTTCTATAAAGTAATGGTTATGAAATCTAAACGTAAGGAAATGTTCTTAGAACACAACATTGTTAGGCGAGTTGTCGTTTCCATAGCAACCAGTGAACACGTGCTGCGTGAAGCGTATGTTTGCCTACAACCAAACTTTTTGGAATTTGGATGTCACAAAGTTTTTTTTCTTACAAGACGATTTTTGAATTAAGACCGACGCGTTGCATAACGTAGACATAAATAATTATTAGTAAGCCTGTTTTTACGAGAGAATAAGCGAGCATCTGGCCAAACCTATAAATTCGTCGTTGTTCCTATAATATTAGCTAATTAACGCCTTAAATGTTGTATTTTCTCTATGTTAAAGTGTTTTCTTTTGTGTTTCATTTTGTCTTTCACTTATGGGGTCGGCATATTGAGTTTCGGAAATAGCTTATTTTTCGGGACTAAGCTTTTCTTCAACCAGACAGTCGCAACTTTTGACATTTGTTTTTTAATAAAGAGTCGGAAGATTCATCTGTGGTCCATCTAAATCGTGTTTAAAACAATGTTTGACTCGTATACGTCTGGACTGCACCCAGACACACAGTGACCATCATTAAGAGGTGTGTACAATCTCATATAGGCTATTATTGGACGATACAATGTCGTGCTGCTCTATTCATGAAAATTGTAATTTTTTTTAATTGGTGTCTGCAGGAGGACGTTTCTGACACTGACACTTTTTTTCTAGTGCTTGTTTTAAATTACTTTAAATTACTAACAATAATCCAACATTGACTAGTATCTTCTTCAGTTTTTTTTTAAAATAAATATTTATTAGATAACCTGCTACTGCTTATTTCATCAGCGACTATCTATTCATTTAATCACTAATGCTAATTTACTTGATACTAGTATTCGTTTGCTGCCAGTAACTATCTAAACATTGACAAGCATGGTAACAATTTTACTCTACCAGGAAGATTTGTAATTGAACTATAAATTAGCTTGACTACAGATTATACCAAAAGGAAATATGTTTAAGAAATGTTACTAGTAATAAAAGTAACATATTCTAGTGTTGCTAATTAAAAATGACTAGGATCTAATAAATAGATACTAGTATATGCTGTTATAGATATAGGAAACAAGTACATAATGATTAGTTACTAGTACAGATTGACTGACTAATTTAATAGGGAGTCTACTAGTCGTTATTCTTATAAGTAATAGTACCTAATGAATAGTAACTAGTAGAATAGAAAAATATACTAACCACTCTACTTTCAAAATTAAACTAGTAACATTTTAAAAAGACACTTGTTAGTTTAAAGGAAGAAATGTTAAAACAGCTTGCTACATAGTTTCATTTATTTATGCAATTCATATTTAACACATTAATCACGTGTTATTGATAAAAGCAAGAGACAGATTATGCTTTTTAATAATGTGCTTTCAAATTTTTTCAAAGGTCTTTGAGGACTCTTGTGGAGGAAATGTTATGCAAATGTAAATAGCTTTACAGAGAAGGGAGATGAATGGCATACTTAAAGGAGCAGCTGAACTGTGCAGAGCGGCCAACAAAATATTGCTCTCTGGGGACTCTGGCAGAGCTGCAGCTTTATACACCCATGCTTTTGGAAATAATGCTGGTTCCACTGTAGGACACATGCGTGGCCTTAACGCAGGTCGTTTAGAGGAGGTGATCTCAACGCTGGAGGCCTGGCTTGATGGCGTTTTACACAACTCTATTGAGGGCCTGAGCAAAGTTCTTGTTGCTGTATTTCTGTCTACATTATGGCCCAATAATGTGTCTGCTTCTCTTTATAAAATGCAGTCTGTCCTGCAGGGGACAGGTCATGCCTCAGACGAGATATTTGCGTGGTGTTCTGCTCTTCTAGAGGTAAAACAAATGCCTCAACCTGAGGGTCGCACACGGTTAATTCTAGAGCTAACTAGAGCTCTGGCTTGTTTGCTCTCTGACGCATACAATCCTGAAGGTCCTCAGCTTTATCTGTAGGCATTTCATGGAAATAAATCAGAAACTGTTAGACTGGTTAAAGAAAGACAGACTCAACATGTGGAACTATTAATTAAAGCCTTTTACCAGCAAATGTCTCCAAGATATTCCATTCTCCATAGTAAGTGGCAGATAGAGAAAGCATCAAGTCCTACACAGACAATTGAAGACATCGATACCTCTAAAGCTGTTGTGTTTTTACTTGCCATTTCACCAGATGACATCCAAGTAAGAGAGCTTCAAGCAGCAGTGTTGTTTTCATCTGGAATGTTCACAGAAAATGCAGAAGCTTTGTCGTTGGCTCTTAAACTAGGTGAATCATAGACTGAACATGCAATGGCACCAGAGAAAAGAGCTGGTTTACTTGTGGGCAGAGCAGCTGCTCATTTTTCAGCAGGAGGACGAGCAAGAGAAGTCTGCAAAGATCTAGGTGATGGCTTTGCACTTCATCCAGCCACAGCAAGACAGCAATTCCAGAGCGTTTTCTCGGACAGTGGCGTAGGGTTGGCTGTTCACATCCAGCTGCATCAACAGGCTGAGAAGGGCGTCTCAGAGTTCAGAGAGGCTGTTCTTATGAGGCCTGACCTTAGGTCTTCGAAAGGAGTGGAGTTGTTGGATCCCCTTATTGCTCAACTGCGAGCTCTCTGCCACTTGGAGTCGGACGGAGGAAGCAGGGAACTGCAGGTGCGTCTGGCAGACTGCCTCCTCCTGCGTGGGGAACATAGAGAAGCCCTTTCCATAAGTAGCCAGCTCGCTGCCCCAGCTCCAGCCCAGCGGAGCTACCAGAACACTGCAAGTGCTCAGAGGGTATTCCCGACTCTTCACTGAAGACCATAAAGGTGCTCTAGAGGATTTCCAAGCGGTGATTGAGCATAATACTCCTCACCCACCCAGCTGTGTCCATGCGCTCTGTGGTAGGGGTATCCTGCGTATGATGGCTGGCTCACACTACCTTACTGCTCTAGATTACATTACAGCAAGCCAATTACAGCTGCAGGATGCTGCTGTAACTGTTAGGTGCCTCGTGCCTTGGAACTCCCGTGGGTTGCTGTGCACCGTGTTGCTGGAACAGGGAAGAGTCATGCTTGAGGGGACCGAAGAGCAAAGAGCTGAGACAAATCCTAGAGCTCAACAAGAGAATGAGGAGGCCACACCACCAACAAACAGAGGTACATTTGCATTTTTTCTGATGCAAAACTTATTTGTCGTGCTGTATCTTGTGTCTTATTTAGGGATTCAGAAAATGTAATCTTTATCAAACATAAAAATTTATATCCAATTTCGTACTGTAAATTGTAATGCTGCCATGCCTAAATTCACTTTGTAACATTTAAAATCACTGATTTTGGTTCTGTGTGTTCAATTTTTTATTTATTTTGAAAAAAAAAGTATATACTTTTATTATTTATCAGTTATCAGCCATGATATAAGAATCGGCTTATCAGTAACGGCCATAACATTATTATTGGTTCATTCCTAGTCTTATTCAGGGGTGTCCAATCCTGCTCCTGGAGGGCCACCTTCCTGCAGAGTTCATATTCAACCTACACTCTTAAAAATAAAGGTGCTTCACGATGCCATAGAAGAACCTTTTTGTCTAAATGGTTCCATAAAGAACCTTTAACATCTGAAGAACCTTTCCGTTTCACAAAAGGTTCTTTGTGGTGAAAGAAGGTTCTTCAGATTACAAAAAGGTAAGAAAGAGATGGTTCTTTAAAGAAACTTTGATTGAATGGTTCTTTGTGGAACCAAAAATGGTTCTTCTATGGCATCGCTTGAAGAACCTTTTGAAGCACCTTTATTTTTAAGAGTGTACCTGACTAGAAGTTTAGAGATCCTGCAGACCTTAGTTAAAATAGGTTGACCGATAGTGGATTTTACCTATAACGAAATACCCATAACGATAACCCATTGTTCCAGCACTCGGTTATCAGTGCCGATTTATCAGCAAAATCGATCATTCAGTCGACCTCAATTAATTAGCTGTTTCAGGTTTGTTTAATTAAGGTTGTAACTAAACTCTGCAGAACTTTGGACCTTCAGCAGCACGACTGGACGCTACTATCTTATTCAGTCTCCTGTGCTTCCTTTCAGGTCTGCTGTTGGTGTGCACACTCTTGCTCTTCTCCTAATGGAGTTACAACCTGGTGCCGATGGACCCCAGATTCTCACAGCAGATGCTTTGTACCAGTTGGGTCATGTTGAGGAGGCTTACTGTCTTCTTCTAAACATCGAGCACACAGCCCCACGGCCACAGATTCT